AAATGACAGGTCCACTGTTCACATTTAGATAAGGGAAGCGCAGTGTGAATGGAAACGTGCTGACTTCACTATGGGCTTGTGTGCAGTGGGGCAGTTCTGTCAGAGAAAATACTGCAGATCTGGTGAAGTCCCTCAGTTCCCCCCACATTCCTAACTACTCTTGGTTTCTAGCAGCCCCATTCTCTCTGCTGACCACTGAGCACAGCCTTTGGAAAGGGATGGCCACACGTCAGTCCTGATATGGAAAACGAGATAGCACTATAACCAGCTGTCTTAGGAAACAGAATTAGGGATTCCAACCCTGGTAGTGAGTGAGTTAGCTGCTGTGTTGCTAACTCCCAAGGTCAGTAGCTCAAAACCGCTAGCCCAGCTCTCCGTGAGCAACATGAGGTTCTCTTGTTCCCGTAAGATTTACCGACTGAGGCTGTTCTACTCTGTCTTACAGGCTTTTGCCAATGCAAATGAGGATGGAGAAGAAAGAGTAAACACCAACCAGCCCTAAAAGCCTAGGTCTTTGCCAGTCAGTGAACAAGGGCAGGGGGATATCAGAATACTAAAATTACTGGCCATATACTTAATAGCTTTTGATTTTCCTAAAGGGATGAAAGATTTGACCCGGGGGTCGGTTTGGGCTTCATACATTGAGGTTGTTTGCTACAGTCCAGTTTGGAAACCTAACCTGTCCAGCGTGAAAGCTTAGCTCAGGCTCCGGGTCACTCTCACAACCGCCAGCCCGGCCCTGGACACGCAGCCCTCGCACTCGCTAGTGAGAATCGAAGGCCCAGGGTCTAAGGACAATCAAGTAGTGTCCCGTCCAGACTTGTTTATAGCTTCTCCCTGGCCCTTGGGGGAAGCGGCTTCCAGTCACTTTAGTGTCAGGGGAGGAACTGTTTTGGTTTTTCCCCGGGCTAGTCAACAGTGAACAAAGGCAAGGGTGAGTTTCCAAGTGGCCACCACAGGACACGCGGGGGTGGATGGAGGTCCCAGCACCTTCTCTTCCACGACTCCTGCGGCGGGTGGTCTCCAGGCTCGGGGCGCAGACACACGCCAGCTGGAAGGGACAGGGACAGTCCGGAGCGAGTGGCCTCCGGGAGCCAGGACCACGCGGCACCACGGCCCGGGGCCAGAGCCGAGCATTGACCGGGAAGGCCCCCCAGCTCCCCGGGCCGGC